AATAAAAATGTCTCCAATATCATCAGCACTGTCTCAAAACCACACATGTACATTCACATCAATACTCTTTCCCTGTTTTTCTTCATGCAGTTTCCTTTCCTTTTTTCATTCTATCAAATGATCAATGATGATCAGTGATGATTCTATGATCAAGAGAGATTAAAATTATATTCACATCAAATTTACACTTATTTATGGTCATCACAATCGCACATATATTTTTTCTTTATTCAACTTAAGGCTTTATCATAAATTAGTCACCTCATTATAAACTAGTTCACTTATTGTCCACTTGATGGCGCAGTAGAGCAAATGAAGCATGTGCATCGATTCGTGTGGACCAGTTGGATGGAAAGCTTCATCTCACCATCACTACCCCTAACCACTCCGCTACAGTCTCCCCTTGTATGTCAAAGCCCTCTGAGCAGCTCCCATAAAAATGTCAGAGTGATTTTAGCTTACCACGAGCCCACACAGCTAACATGGAATAATAAGTCACCTGTTGTCACAGTGGTACTGGAGCCCCCAGAGACATCACAAGTTCAGTCCCTGACTGTTTTCTCTGCATTTTAACTTGCTTCCAATGTTTTAGCCTGTAACTGTCACCGTCATTCTTTCGACTGTTACTACGATCCTGACGTCGATCGGAGGAGAGCCAGCGTTGACCTTCACGGACACCACCGAGGAGGCGGAGTCTGCCTCAACTGCCAGGTAGCTGTGATGTGTTGTGTGTTTGTGGGCAGCTCAGGTGAATGTTGTGTTGATAAAGTCTAAATCTGATGATATCTTACTCTCGCAGCATCACACCATGGGAATTAACTGTGAGCGCTGCCTCCCCACCTTCTACAGGTCACCTGACCACCCCATCGACTCCCCCCAGGCCTGCTTACGTGAGACACAGCTGCTTGATTTTTTTTTATATTTTTTTAGCAGCTTTGTTCTTGATCCTCACTGGTTGAGTTTTGTGTGTGTCCCGTCTCTGCAGCCTGTAACTGTCAGTCAGAGTTTACAGACGGTACCTGCGAGGATCTGACCGGACGCTGCTTCTGCAAACCAAATTACGCTGGAGAGAACTGTGACTCCTGCGCCAGCGGCTTCATCAACTTCCCCGAGTGTTACCGTAAGTTACACTTCACCAGACAACAGAAATGCTGCTTCTCTTCTTGCTTTTAGCTTGAAAAGAAACCAGGAACCAGGTTGCAATGGTCCATAAGGGTAGAGAACAAATTCATCCACCTCGCAAAGTAGTCCCTTCTAATAAATTACTCCTGATTCGAGGTGGAATGTCTCGGTTTCCCTGATTTATTTATTTAACTGGACTGTTATAATGAGACACAGTGATAGGGAGAAAAAAGACCACTTCTTTGTGCAAAAAATACAATAAAATAAACACAAGTTTTAAAATTTGTGTGGTTAGTTATTCGGGAAATGAATGTGACATTAATATTTCTGCTCAGGAATTAAATAAATTAGCATAATTGAATGCAGTAATTAGGCCCAGATTCACCATATTTATTCAAGTATAATACGTAAAATTAAATCCATAAAATCGTCCATAAAGTTGGGGGGTAGTACTATACTCGGATAAGTATTTTTACTTATGTATTTTATCTGAAATTGGCTTCATTCACAAAATGCCTCAGTCTGGAAATGAGGCCGCATCGTAAAAAGCAGTTGAAACGAGCTTACCTCTGACACTCCTCCGTGCTTCAGAGCGAGATGATAACAGATCCAAGCAGGCGACATGACGTGAAAAAAGGGGGAAGAAAGTATTCCTGCACCTTAGTAATGATAACGAACTAATGACATTAGCGTGTGAGCCCACTCCTCGAACAACAACAACAAACACATGTTCATCTGTAATGGTGGCCGTCTACCGGTGCTCTGAAAAAGTTTGTATCCCTGAAAAAACGTTTCCCCACTAGAGGGGGCGCTCGCGAGTAGGAAGTAATCTGCTTTTCCCCCAGAAGATGACCTAAAATCTCATGTGAAGTCTCTGACTTTTGTGTTGGCGCCTCCTGGTGGACTATGTGTAAAATGCCAGAATTCA